AACCTTATCAATGTCTCATACACTAAGAATGCACTCCTCATTCTCACATAACCTAATGAAACTTAACTTCCCATAAACATGGCTACAGATGTGTGTTTTTTTTTTAATTTTTCTTAAACTACATCCTGGATACAGATTTGTGCATGATGCTCCCTTGTAAAAGCTCTACAGTCCTCCAAGAGTGAGAATGTGGCACAAATTGTACAAAGAAAATGGTAGCATAGTTGCTAAGAGCCAGAAACACACACATACCCCTTTCAAATCTTACCTTTTTCATCAGCTCATTAGTTGGGTTTCAGAAAGCTGCAATCTCTCAGTTTCAATACCATGTCTTTAAATTGTAATAATAATAGTGACCTACTGTACAGGGTTATATCTGTGAAGATTCTCAGTCATCCATGTGTGGTTATCTGGAAGTTGAGTTATGGCAACTGGACTTCTTTCTTATTAGCTTGAAACATTTAGCTTCTCATCCAAGTAGCTTCTACTGTACAGGGTTGTTATAAGGTTTACTGAGATAGATTTGAATGCTGGAAATTTGGTATCTTAATGATACTGTAAATATAATCTAAAAGCCATCAACACAGATTCCTGCTTAGCCTGTTTTTTGTTTCTAGATATCTGAAGTGTCATGATAAAACAAGCCAAAACAGCCCTAGCGTACAATAAACAGGGAAATACTTGATCACAAAAGCATCTAGTGTGCCATTCTGTGTTTTACCCATCCCTGGGTTCCTCCCAGCCTGACTGACAGATTTATCAATTCCCAGTTTGCCTCTCATATTAGATAATTAACTTGAGTGATAAGAGAGGTTGATTAGCAATAGCCAATTCCTAATAGCTGTTTCACACATCCTAGTAATAGCTATAATTATCACATGGTAATGAGCCTGAAGAATTAGTAGAAATATGAAGATATGCTACTTCAATATTAATATGCTCCTGGAATGCAGCCCAACTATTTTGTTGGACATTTAAAAACTGAAGATTCTGCTGATTTTATTTGAGCCTTCGTTTTCAGACTCAATTCTTCTAATGTGGCAGTGGCATGGTTAATGTGAATTCAGTACTGTGCAAAACCAGATCCCACAGGAAGTATATTTGGGGCATAAAGAGTTAGGCAAGTGAATACAGAGAGGGAATACAAAGAGGAACTGTGTGATCCATTCATGGGAGCAGGGTTGGGTAAAAATTTTATTAGGTCAGTAAAAATTATAAGAAGACAGGAGTGCCTGGCGTGCTGTGGTCCATGGGGTCATGAAGAGTCAGATACGACTTGATGACTAAACACAACAACAAATTTACAAATAAAGCAAGTTTTCAAAGTCCCTAGAACTCTTCATCAGACAAAGATGATACGAAACATGGGATTAAGTTGAATAATTCAGAAACAGGAACAGAAAACAAAATGGGTTTTACAGAATTCTCTCGCAGTGGTATGAAGAGTCAGATACGACTTGATGACTAAACACAACAACAAATTTACAAATAAAGCAAGTTTTCAAAGTCCCTAGAACTCTTCATCAGACAAAGATGATACGAAACATGGGATTAAGGTGAATAATTCAGAAATAGGGACAGGAAGGCAGACTACCAACAAAGCAAAATGAGGTTTTACAGAATTCTCTCGCAGTGGTTTTCTGTGTCATTGATGGTCTGACAGCAGCCTCCTTCTGTCTGTCATTCTTTGACTCTTGGAGTCAGCAGCTACATGAGGTTTGGTGGGAGAAGGAGAAGTCAGATACGGCTGATTAGTCGGGGGGGGGGGGAACAGATAAGAGAGATAAAGCTGGTTAAGAAAATAGTAGAGAAGGTGGCAATGATATAGCAAGAGAAAAGAAGTATGTGCTGAGAGAACTGTTGATGATTTGCTTGTGCATAATGTTTATCTGAGAAACTTCTGTTATTATTCAGTCTGCTTCACTTCAATCAATACATTCTGTTTCTGTTCACAAGTCAAGTGTTCAGACAAACGTCATTTATATTGTGGATTGAGGTAATCCACTAGTGGCAGCAAGAGGAAAACATGACGTGAGCCTTTGTGACGGAAAGACAAGCAGGGGCCACAAGGGTGAACAGCACGCATACATCTAGCAAAGAATCAAAAGAATAACTGGGAAATAGAGGAACAGTGGTTGTGGCATGATCACCTTGTGCATATCCATGCAGACAAAATGGAAGAGATATAAAAGCAATTCAGTGCACTGATTCAATTAGTTGTGAATTCAGAAATCTCCAGAAGCTCTTAATTTACATTACAAATGCAGTAGGTTGGAACTAGGATCAAAAGAACCAAAGTAAGACAAAAAGTTTTGGTTTTTTGGGGGGGGTTAAACCACAGTTAGATCCACTGTACAATCTGCTTCTGTGCACTCCAGCATCACACTGATGTGTGCTGATCCATGCACTTTGTGGGTGTATATTGTCTGATGGTATTTCCTTATGGATAAGTTTCTGCTGGTCAGTCTCCATCCCTCTACACTTGTTGCTCCTGTTTGGTTTTCTTGGGATATCAACAGTTCCTGGGTTCTGCTTTTATAACTTGATGTGATAGTACAAGAGTGGAACACACTGTGGCAAAAATCTTAAGGTGTGAGAATGGTGGAAGGGTAAAACAAGGCAGGAAGGGAGGAGAGAGAGAGAGGTGGAGGTGATGGGCAAAATGGCATGGCAATCCCATTTTGGCAATGAACAGCAGTCAACAGTGGCATTAATATGGACCATTATCAGCCAGTGGTGAGACCTATACCACTCTACCTATGTTTTACATTTCCTTTCATCCACCTCCTCCCCATGCTTATAGAAATGTCTCAATGACAGATGAGATTGTTATGCAACTCTGCCCAGCTACAGCTCAAGCCTATATTAAGTTAGATATGGTTTGTCTGATTTGGCATTGCATTGAGAGGTCCCTTTTAGTTGTGTGGAGGATAAATAGTGGAATTAAACTATTTAACAGCTGGTTTTCCTTATTTACTTTAGGTTATGCAAAAGAATAACAACACAAAGCTTAACCTGATCCCATTCACCAGCAGTAGCACATGCTCAGAGTAAGACCAACTCTCCATTTTCTGACATAATTGAACGTTTATAGCATGCAAGGCACAACAGGTTAGGCCACACAAAGCCATGAACAATGTTCTTGATGAGCCAAAAAACTGAATACAAACTATAGTAGCTGAAATCAGGAAGCAGGTACTGTAATCCAGTTAGAAGTCATGAGGCACAGTTAGTTTCCTTGCTGCAATACCCTTGGAAATACATTCTCTATTAGATGCCTAGAACTAGTTGAAAAATTTGCAAGTTGAATCCAAATGTCCCATAGAAATGCATTGAAAATTAATTAATGCATTTTTATGGGGAGAGGGAAGGTAAGAAACTTTAAAAAACTTAAAAGAAAGTCACTTACCAGGTACTGTAGACTGAGCCTTACTCTTCACAGTGCCTTGGTAGATCCCAGAACAGCCAAAAAAGAGCCCTAAACAGCTAAAAGCCAGCAGACAGCCAGCAGACGGCAGCCATTTTGTGCTCTTCTCCGCTCCTGCTCCTGCTCCTTTCCCCTCCCTTCTCCCCACCTAACAGCTGATCAGCGCTGGTCTGAACACTTTCTAGGCAGCTTTTAAAGCAAGTATGCACGTTTCTACACAAGCAGATTTCAACTCAAACAGAGCACCTTTTCAAGCAGTCTCTGGTGCTAGTTCAGAGGCCTCCCAGCATGGCAGTGGGGGGGCTTCTACGTGGTGGTGGTTGAACCTATATTTTTACTATAGTTGTTCCATAAGACACACATACTTTCTCCCCCACTATTTGGGGGGGGGGAGAAAGTGCATCTTATGGAGCAAAAAATACAGTAATCATTGATGGTGCTTGGGTTGGCACACTCCGACTAGCATACTTCCACATGCCCAATATTCACCATTAGTACCTGTTAAAGGAGGAAAGGGTTGGCTTACTTTTGAGATTTCAGGATCTGCACCAGTACCTACTGTAACCATTGAATTAATAGCTAACAGGAGTGTGACCCATAATAAGCAGTACAGCCAAATTCATAAGATTACATTTTCCCATATCCCATTGCTAAATTGTTAAAATTACCCATCATCTGTCTTCTCCTAACTTACCAACAGGGTAAGCATGCTTCTCATCAGGCTTTCCAGCCTCTGTCCGCAGCTGGTGCAGTGTATCAAAGCAGTGTGACTTATGTCCAGCTGGGGGGCTGCCACCCCATAGGACCACTCCTCTATTAAACTCTGCCACAGAGTCTTCCATTTTGAGTGAATCTGATCTGTGGTTCTTGGGTAGCCTTGCCATGGCTGCTCTGCAAGCAAGAGGGGTTGAGGAAATAAGCAGTCTAAGATAGCAGCTGCATCATATATCAAACTATTGCCCCTCAAGCTCATCCTGAGACCAGTAAACCCTATGATAACCTGAAGGCATGATGTGTGAGTTCATGCTGGACAACGGAACTATCTCAGAGCCTCCAGGCAGAAGGCCGGGCTTGCTGTGGGGTTCTATATATATATATTGGCACCTGTTGCCCCCAATATCAGCGTGTCATAATTTTAAACAAAAAGAAATTATTTTAGGTGTTATGTTAACAAATGCTTAAACTTTATTTACACTGTTGTTGCCTCCTCATTGTATTCATTGGTTCTCCAAACAGCACCAGCAAATTAGTTACCAATGCTGATTACGCAGTTAATTGGGCTGACACATTTGACTGCCACCTTTTCATCATATCAATAAAAAGGATCCATAGCATGCAGCAGTTCAGAGCCTATTCCTTTTCTTGGTATCAGCATGCAAGTATTGTGTGGTTGACCCTTTCTTTCCCCCTCCCAAGAATAATTAGCATCCCTTGCCCAATACAGCTCGACAGTTCCCATGTTAAATCACACTGTACTATCTCTGCAGTGAATCTCTTTGAATGAGTCACCATCAAGGACCAATATACTTTACAATACCCAGTTGTGATGTCTCACTGCAAATTGGATACTCACAGGACACATAAGCAAATGTTGACCTTTCCGGAGTGAAAAGCATGGGAGGCAGAACAATAACTCACAATCACTGCTGCTAACAGAAGAGTTGATCTCTGAAGATATGGTTCACGGCAGCCATCCATCTTTTCTGTCTTTAAAACACAACAGGTTATAACATCTACTAAGAGCAGTTTTCTAAAGTAGTTGCAACTTGGACAATTGACTGTCCCTTTAGTCTTCTAATGATGTAAAAGCACTCCACAGATCAAATGTGTTCTGCATAGGAGACTGCCCTAAGAAGACAGTGATCTGTTGCCCATCTTGTTCCCTTGCCTTAACACTAACCCTGTGGCTACATAAAGGTTCCCCTTGACAATTTTTGTCCAGTCGTGTCCGACTCTAGGGGGCGGTGCTCATCCCGCTCTTCAAGCCATAGAGCCAGCGTTCGTCTGAAGACAATCTTTCCGTGGTCACATGGCCAGTGTGGTTTAGACACGGAACGCTGTTTACCTTCCCACCGAGATGGTACCTATTTATCTACTCGCATTTGCATGCTTTCGAACCGCTAGGTTGGCGGGAGCTGGGACAAGCAATGAGCGCTCACTCCGTTGTGTGGATTCGATCTTATGACTGCTTGGTCTTCTGACCCTGCAGCACAGGCTTCTGCTGTGGTTTAGCCCACAGCGCCACCACGTCCCTACATGTAACAGTGGCTACATGTAACAATGAATATTATTTTCTAATGTTTACGGAGAAATCACATTTGAGGGGAAAAAAATTAACCATGGAATACAGAAAGGTTATCTTGTGTCGACATGATAACATTTATATAATGGCCTCTCAACCACTTCATAGGTTTAAAAACTTAAATCTATTTATTTATATACAGAAAAGTATATCATACTGAAAATATAAATGGGCTTCGAAATAAAAATTATTCTCGTTCCCACCCACGTTCCCCTTAGGTTCCAGATGGTTTCTTTCAACCTGGTCCTCCAGGGCCAACATTCTTTGTTCAATATCTGCAACCGTAAGGAAACAAGAAACTGAAATTAAAGCCTGGGCACCCAAGCTCCAGTCTGTTTCCCAACTTTAATTCAGAAGTTGGTAGACAAATGGAAACTTTTTTTTGAAAGAGTAATGCACCTCTTTCTGATACTTCCTGTAACATTATCAGAACATCCTCCAGGAGACTTCCATGGTCCGGTCTTGTTTCTCCCTCCCCTGACCACTGGGAACTATTTCCTGATCTTTCTGGGGCTGGATGAAAGGGCAGCGTGATAAATAGGAGACAGATTGAGTGTAAGGTCTCCGCCCCTGTTGAGTGAGGGATTTTCTATATACACATGTATGGCCTCTCTGACCCCTCTCTCAAACCACCTATCTCCTCAGTCCAAAATGAGTAAGATGAGAACCACCCCCTTCAGAAAAAAAATCACTGTTAAAGACTGTTAGCAACTCATGACAATGGGTGGAGGACTGCAGAGATGGGATTTTCATTTATCACCACCACCACCACCCCTGGCCGTTGTCCATCTAATGAGCCTATTCAGACCAGGGGAAAGTGAAACTAATGGGGACGATACATCAGGAGTCTCCTACTAACTCTCCTCAGACTGAAGAAGCTACTTAGATGAATAGTGAAGCATTTCAACTTAATAAGGAAGAAGTCTAGTTGCCATGACTCAAATTCCAGATAACCTCACGTGGAATTTTCACAGATACATGGCAAGGTTGCTTCTTGTTTTATAGGGGTAAGACTCACCATCATTTTGTGATCCAACCTGGGATCATCTATTGGGAATTATTCAAGGGTTTATAATTTAATTATGCAGGGTACACATTGTCACCACCCCACAGCAAGCTGAGTACTCTACTGACCTTGGAAGGATGGGAGGCTGAGGCAACCTCAATCCAGCTACCTGGGACTGAACCCAGGTCATGATTAGAGTTTGAGCTGCAGTACTGTAGTTTAATCAATGCTCCACGAGGCACCATCTGCTAGAGGTGATTGATGTTCTAGGATTCAAACTATATCTAAGAACTATATTCTAAAATCTACCGTGTCCCAAAATCTGTATCTTATAGAAAATAGCTTGGAGCAGCAACTTCTAAACAGGAGAAGCAGCCTCCTTTAAAGCCATACAAGGCTCAATGGCAATTAAAGAACAAGCCACAAAAGATCCGAAGTTAACATTGTCTGATATTTATTCTTGGAACTGCAACTTCTAAATAAACCATATTATCATATAAATCATAAACAGCCACATACGAACCATAAGAACCACACAAGGGATCTTTTTCTGGGCTAAAAATCTATTTTCTGTATAACATCTCAAAATAGCAGTTTATGGGAAATCCAAATTCAGAATGTATCTGAGTGCTTGTGTCACACCTTTTCTCTTCCTAGCACTTCCAAGCACCTTACACATAAATCTGGAATTATGCAGAAGACATTAGGACCAGTCCTAACCATATGGGCATATGTAAGTGAAAATACTGTTCACAACACAGTTCATTTCAAATGTAACCATTATAAAAAAAAATCTAGGTGCCAATAAAACATATTTACCCATTTTTTAAAAAAAGATGAAAACAAAATGAAATATGAGCAGCTCAATAAATTCTGCAACCTGAATTGAAGAGTCATCCTCCTGGATAAGATCATGTTAAAATAGTTGCAGAAATGTTTGAGGGACAAAGTTCCTAAAGGCTACATAGATTGGTTGATGTTAGTGTCTTATCTTTTCTTTTAGTCAAGAGGAATGGACATTTCTCTGCCATCCTATTCATCTTATTTATTTTCAAGGCCACAGTAACTTGAACGTGGTAATGCTTCATCAAGTGATACATTGCTGTCATGATTATATCCACTGACAAAATTTTGCTCAAAGCGGGTAGTCTTTCAAAGCCTTCAGTGCCGCCCAATTTATAAGAGAAAAATTTGGGTGGAACCAAAGGCAGGCATGCAGAGGTAACAGAGGAACCCAGCCAGAATCATGGCATCCCATTCTGTCCAATGGAAGCAAACTAAACTCTAGACCTGATTGGATGGGGGAGAAAGGATGGAAGATGTCCTGAAGAAAGTGACAGAAGAGAAGCATAAACTTGAGGTCACCTCACTGGCTATGCCTTCTTCAAGGCAATCTTACAAGTCCTGGATAGCTAAGTGGTGTAGACCTCTGGCTGTGGAGCTAGACGATTCCCTACTGTGCCTCCCTGACAGGGGCTGGACATGATGATCCATAGAGTCCCTTTCAGCTCTGCAGTCCTAAGATTATAAAATCTCTGACAAAAGGACCATCTACTGATGACTTTTCTCAGACATCTCCTGCCTCACAGGAATAGCCCCATGTATCATTACTTCTACATTTCCATAAAATGAAACCTTCAAGGCTCAACCAATTCCCTTTGTGTAAAGAAGGCCATCAAGTGTAGTATTCAGGTGCATCTTCTAATCAGTGAAAAATGCAGTGACAGAGCTGGTGTTCACATTATGACACCAAAAGCATATTGTACCAATGTTATGGCATGTCCACTTTCTTCTTGTAGGAATACAATCTTGGCTCAAAATTCTGCTTTGAATGAATGGCTTGGTCCTACAGTACATAACCTCATGATTGTCTCCAATTATCTGGCAGTTTTCAAGCACCATTTCTTGTATTGAGTTTTGCTGTCATGCACAGCCATCCAATGACAAAGTCTCTCACAAGCAAAGCATTATATGTGAAGGGCACCCAAATGTAGAAATGGCTGCAGTTTCTTTTATAAAATACAGAGGAAAGGATGATAAGAACTTCCTCTGAAAATCATTTAAAAACTTTTCTCACTGTGGGAAAAAATAGATTAACATACCCCTGAGATAAACCTTTCCATCACCTGTTGTGGAACTCCATCTTGACAATGGTCCACCACAGCTTGACTATTAACTGTTTCTCACCTTGTCAAGAACTGGTATGAACCCTGATTATGATGTCAGAAATGATGTCAAAATATTGTTTTTGCTTTTAGCCCCGGCTGTCTTCAGGGCAATATTAGTGTCCAGCAAACCTCTGTAATTAAGTAGCCATTAGGTTTACTCACAGCCTAGGCCTGAAGAAAAATTAGTATGACCTGAATGCCCTTAAGCTGATGTGGTTAATTCCCTCTCATCTCTTCTCAGTGGGAGGAAAAAAATTCTGAAACCAGAAATAGGTAACAACAAACAATCAAGCAAACAAAAACCAACCACCCCACCTCCTTTCATCTTCTCCTCTATAAGCCATTGAGCCTGTGGTTGTGCGACTGTCACATATTCCCTGCCCTTGGTCCTTAAGATTGCTTTCTCCATATTGTAACGTAAATTAGCATCTTAAGATCACTTCTTTCATGAATGAGATGCTGATTCTCTCCCAGTCAATTTATTAGAAAGAAAGAGGCATTAGAAAGATAGAGGCATTGCAATTTCACAGAGAAATTGTTGGCTTGAGGGATGTAATCATTTCTCAAGCAGATAACAGGCCAAAAATGTATGACTGGCAAAGAAATATTTTGAGTCACCCTTGTCCTTCTCCCTCTCCTACTCCTTCTTCTCCTTCTCCCCCTTCCATTCCTTCTCCTTCTCCCTCTCCCTCTCCCTCTCCCTCTCCCTCTCCCTCTCC